TGGCTACTGTTGCAATCAGAAGGCAAAAAAGCTAAGTATAATATCTGTGATAGCTAAACATGTTGCAAGAGAGGTGTCTCCACCAACATGACAAAGCACTTTAATTTAACAGATCGTTAAAGATCGCGAACGCGATTCAAAGACCAATGTGATTCTATTCCTAAATTACAATGATTCGCCTGTTTCATTCCTCAACCTTTGACGTGTGCGATCAATGTTGTGATCACTTGTTGGTTCGTCCGTGCGGAGTACGATCACATCAGTGTGATTTGAACATTTAAATTTCGGTTCACGCTGCCGTTGACTTAAAGAGAGCAGCTGTCTGTCATGAATGAAACGGCTTTACAGTCTTTTCAGCCACACAGTATCATTAGTTCTGTGTTACAAACATTCAAATCACAGAAGTACTGGGATAAAATTGTATAGTTCATATATAAACTGTGTGTACAACGTGCATGGTAGCGATTAAAATCACCTCTTAAATCACCTCTTGAAAGTAATTTGACATTTCAAATGAAGATTATCGATTACATTGTTACTCCAGTAATTTAGGTGGCGAAAAGGGGCTGTTAAAATGTATTTGTCTTTGAATCATACAAGAGATTCGTTCAAGAACACTGATTCATCAATTAATGAAACAAGTACATCTTGAGTGAGTCATTTAGTCATTAATTCATAAATTACATGTGATTTTGTTTAGTTGTCTAATATTTTTTTCTTCGGAATCATGAGAGAACCACAACTTCCATTGGGGGGAAAAAAAACAAACAAACTCAATTTATCCAGAATCATGCAGTTCTATTTTGCACACAAACAGCTCTTAAAGAGTCCAGTTTTTATGTAGCCTGTTGATTTTTTTGTTCATGGTATTCAGCTCCAATAAATGGTTTGCAAAAAAGCTCCAACTTGCCTCAACACACCTGCCTTTAAGTTTCTAGTATGCCTAGTAAGAGCTTGATTAGCTGGTTCAGGTGTGTTTAATTGGGGTTGGAGCTAAACTCTTCAGGACACTGGCCCTCCAGGACCGAGTTTGGACACCCCTGTTTGATATCATTATTTAATCACATTGGAATCGAAACTGGGAACGAAAAGAATCGTAATCGGGAATTGATAAAATTCAAACGATACCCAACCCTAGTACTAAGTGACTATAATCTTTACAAATGTTTTTTTTTTTTTGTATGTGTTTGTATGTGTGACAGTGCCTCCCAAATGCTGCTCTGTACGATGCAATCTGGCTGCTATGATGTTCTTTGGCTTTGCGGTGGTCTATGGTCTACGTGTAAATCTCAGTGTTGCTATGGTTGCTATGGTTAATGGAACCAATGACCAGTCGTCATCCAATAGCAATATATCAATCGAGTGTCCAGTACCCACCCATACACTTGACAACAACAGCCAAAGTTCAGAACAGCCAGAAGGGGTAAGAATAAACTGCATGCAGCTTTGCATGCACTGAACCTGGTGGATATTTTTATAGCATATAATACTTGTTTTTTTTATCATATTTCTCTCGATTTAATTTTCTTTTCCAAGATTCCAAGATACTCGTGGGATTCCAAGACGCAGGGAATGCTGCTCGGTGCTTTCTTTTTTGGATACCTGTTTACTCAGATCCCGGGAGGCTACCTATCAGGTCGCTTTGGAGGAAGCCTGTTCCTTGGTGGTGGTGTGCTTGGAACATCCGTCCTCACTCTCCTCACTCCACTGTCAGCACAACTTGGAGCCAAGTGGCTGTTTGCCTTGCGTGCACTGGAGGGATTTGGGGAGGTTAGGGGGCTTTTGTAATAGCCAAAAAAGCTTCAAATAGAGAATCTCTGTATTTGAGTCTGTTTTTGTTTTTTTTTGTCCAGGGTGTGACTCTTCCTGCCATGATGGCGATGTGGGCCCGCTGGGCTCCTCCATTGGAGAGGGCTCGTTTGATGACGTTCTCAGGTGCAGGCTCTAGCTTTGGTGCTTTTGTGGCTCTTCCTCTCACTGGCTTCATCTGCCGTAGTCTGGGGTGGCCAGCAGTCTTCTACTCCTGTGGTGAGGGAAAATGACATTTAACTTATGGATGCATTTATATACTGTACATAGCAGTTTGGGGTCTGTAAGATTTTTGTTTGTTTGTTGTGAAATAAATTAATAGTTAAGTTCTGCAGGGATGCAGAATGTTTCTTGAGCATATTAGAATGATTTCTGAAGGATTTCGTGACACTGAAGACTGGAGTAATGATGCTGAAAATTCAGCTTAGCCATAAATTACATTTTAAATATGTTAAAATAGCAAAGTTATTTTAACTGGTAATAATATATCAAATTATTACTGTTTTTACTGTATTTGATTAAATAAATGTAAAAATAAAAATAAAATACATTTATTGGTGTAGCATCTAGTCCAAGCAAAATGCTTGGAATAATTATTTTATATATAATACATTAATATACTTAACACTCCTTACTCTTGTCATCATATTTAATGTAAAATAATAGCAACATATCTTGTATATTTTATATTCGAACGTATATCCATTAACGTGTTTTTACCACCAGGTGGTGCAGGGTGCCTTTGGGCAGTGTTTTGGTTTATTTTGGTGTCAGATGAACCCCGAACTCACCCAAGAATTAGTGACAGAGAGAAACATTACATAATTAACTCAATAGGTTCACAGGTATGAACTAATTTTCTCATTGAATTTTTGATGATGTATACAGTTTGGTCTCGTTCTTTATTCATCAAGTAAATCATTCATGCTAAAAAATAAATAAATACATACTAGCATGATTCTATGTGAATATGTCATTGAATTACAAAGGAATCATCAAATAACATGAATTTCCAGCATGACTTCCTCTCCATATTTAATCTCAGGTTTAGATCTGCAGGCATTTATTGTTGATTTGATATTTCCTCTTTTTTTTTTTAGGGGATGCCACATGGTTGGTCAGTGCCTGTATTATCTATGCTGTTCTCTGTGCCTGTTTGGGCCATAATCATCCCCCAGATGTGCGGTAACTGGTCTTATTATACTCTCCTCACCTCACTTCCTACCTACATGGACACTGTGCTCCACTTTGATTTGCAACAGGTGAGGCAATCGGGATATTTAGATTAAATCAGTCTGGATTATATACTGTGTCTCACTCTATTTCATTTTGTTTTGTCATTTAGAATTCATTCCTGTCTGCTCTGCCATATCTGGCTGACTGGCTTTTCTCAGTGGGCTCAGGTGTGCTGGCAGACAACCTCCTGGAGAGGGAGCTCCTAAGTGTCACAGCTGTCCGAAAAATCTTTACTTTCATTGGTATGAATAATAAATAAATATCTGCTAAATAACATAAATATTTATGATGACAAAGTGCATGTAAAAAGTGTGGAAATAGAACAGCTACACTTTGGAATCATTACCTTTTTTTTTTTTTATGTTTTTGAAACACTCTTATGCTAACCAAGGGTGCATTTACTTGATCAAAATACAGAAAAAAACCCAGTAATATTGTACTTTTTAAAATTGTAATAATGTTTCAGTACATTACAATGTAATTTTTCATGAGCCATTGCTCCAGTTTTCAGAAATGTGATCCTTCAGAAATCATTCTAATATGCTGAGTTGGTGCTCAAGAAACATTTCAATGTTAAAAACAGTTGTGCTGCTTAATATTTTTGTGGCAACTGTGATACTTTTTTTTTTCAGGATTCTTTAATGGAAACCCCCGCCCCCCAATTTAATACATCCTTGCTAGATAAAAGTATTAATTTTTTCAATCTTTTCAATAAAAATATTAAGTAAAAACTATTTTCAACATTGATAACAGGAAATGTTTCTTGAGCAACAAATCAGCATATTAGAATGAGTTCTGAAGGATCATGTGACACTAAAGACTGTATTATTACAGTTTAACTGTGATTTTATGAATACTTTTGTTTTGTGTCCCATAGGTCTGTTTCTACCTGCTGTTTTCCTGCTCGCTGTAGGCTTCACGGGTTGTAGCGGTGTGTTGGCCGTGACTTTTCTCACTTTTTCCAGTGCACTCGAGGGTTTCAGTGCTGCTGGTGTCTACATTAACCAGATTGACATTGCTCCACGGTACAGAACCAAGACTGTCTGACTGGTTTATTTGTCACAATTAGTCACTCTGCTTAAGTTTGCCCTATAGAGCTGTTCATTACGTCAATTTCTAGGCCAACCCAGAAGGCTACTTCACCTTCACCCTTTGGGATTTCTTATGTTTTTTTTGTTTTGTTTTTTTAATTAAAATAACGTTGGAAAATGCTAATCGTCTTCTGGATTATAGGACTACAAACTGAACAGCTCTTTGCTAAAATTGATATCCATCAATCTATACATTAAGTTTTCTTTACAAGCTTTACATTTATTGCAATAGTTATATCTCCTTTTGTGCTCTTTTCTTCCAGGTATGCAGGTACACTTCTAGGAATCACAAACACTTTTGGGATGATCTCTGGTGTTCTTGCACCAATTGTAGTGGGTTACTTGACCAGAGATGTAAGCTGTGTTTTATACTTTGTAACACTGCAGTTACTTAAAAGAATTCATCATCATCAAAGTTGACATTTTTATATGTTCCCCCTTCCTTTGATTTCTGAGCAGCACTCAGTTACAGGATGGAGACATGTGTTCTGGTTGTCAGCAGGGGTGAGTGCCTTTGGAGCCATCTTTTACGTGATCTTTGGCACTGGAAAGATTCAGAGCTGGGCTAGGACAGATGAGGAGTCAGACACAGATATACACAATTAAACATTCCAGTTGACCAATTCAGCAGGATATGAGGACACTGCCTTTGAGTTTTATGCTATACTTAACACATATGCTACCAGTCAAAGGTTTGGACAAACTTCGTACCTTTTCAGGATTTTAAAAACGTGTTATTCTAAAGGCTTACATAAAATAAACATGTAAACATATAAACATAAAATGTACCTAGTTTGTAACTTTTTTTAATGGACCAAACAGTGATATTTTTGGTCACTACATAATTCCCATACTTCCATATGTATTATTTTATAGTTTTGAATACCATTATTCAAAAACGGGGAAATAGTTAAAAAAAAAAAGTGAGAAGGTCTATCCAAACATTTGACTGGTATTAATTATACTTTACTCAGGATTTTTAAAGGGGAAAAAAATTGAAGTGCCTTACAAAGTGTAGTTTATTAGTCTACCAATATTTTACTCATTGCTAAACAATTCTGTTAATGATAATACAATGGAATGGCGAATTCAGAGTAATTCCATTTCTTAATCTCATTACTTTTTTGATAAAATATACTCTGGACTTTATGCTATCTTTCAAACAAATGTAATTTGTGTTACAGTGGTGAAACAGAACAGATTTAGGGGTTTCAACTATATTTTTTATTACATTTTAAAATACTTCCTAATAAGCACTTTAATGCATTAATAATGAAAATACCTTACTGTTTGGTACCAGTGCTGTTCAGGTCATTTTAAACTTGCTAATGAAGTAACTGTACTCCATTAATTGTGTCATTCACTTCAGCACTCAGGCCACTTTTTCATGAAAACCATGGTTTGTTACAGTTTTACTGACAGATACGGTCTGTTCATATTTACTGGAATAGACCAGACAGGGAACATTATTGTTTGAAACCTTTCTTCGAAACTTGAAATGTTTAATGAATTTTTGTTTTTGATGATTGCATTAAGCTAGTGTACATTTTAATTTGTTACAAGTTTTTACATGAACCTTCAATAATGTACAGTATTTGAAAAATAATGTGTTTTTTGAACATTAAAGCATGTCAACATATTCTGTTACACCAAATAATGATCTTTAAAAAAGCATCATATGACCCCTTTAATGTTTGTTTAAAACACTCAAAGAATCTTTGCTAAAAAATTGCCCGGTATTGCTATACATTTTTTTATTTTTTTATTTTTTATTTTTTTAAAGTCATATTCATTTCTGATTTTGATCATGCTCAATAAATACAGTGGTATTTTTACAGTACAGTCATGATGTTCCATCTGATTTGTCAGCACTTATTATCTGCTCTGTAATATGGATGAATAGATCATTAATCAAACATTTGTATTCCTATGTGCAATTACAGGGTAAACAACCTAACATAATTTTAATTGCTACAGTGTAAATAATATACAAGGCATTACAGTCAACCACAAGCTTATAAATTTGAGTCACTTTTTTACACGTAAAAACCGAAGTATACTTTAGCCTTTGCACTGTGCAGTGACGGTGGGGACTCGAGCCAGCATTTATCACCTCGTTGATAAATGGATGAATTATAAGAATACCTCTCAAATTTTACAGCATTCAATTTTATTTATCTTAAATTTGTATAGGAGCAATAATACCAGATATATGAACAATGTTGATTGTGATGTAAGCTTGCTGGGCGTTTTAACTTTTTGTGTCATTAATATAGTGCTAAGTTTGATTTGATATATAGATTTTTTTTTGGTTAGTCTCTTTAATCATTACTATCATGACATTGTAAATGCACTCTTTCCGTAGTTTCAATGTTGTGTGTGTAAATGAGCAAGCTATATTACGGCTTACCATGAGGACAAAAATAAAACTGGTAGAGTCATAAAATAACGTTTCTTGTGTTACAGTTTTACTAGCTGTTCGAAGGAGCAAAGAATTTGCTCTGTGAACTTGATCTTGCCCTATCATACCCTGTTATATTGTTTAATATTACTGTAGATGAGTCATATTTTGCTTTCCTGTTTGAAAGACCTAGTCGAGGAAATATATTAAACTTATATATGAACTGTAGGTCTTTAGATGGGTGAGATAAAAAAAAAAAGTATTTAATTTAGGCAGTTTTATTGACTATAAGCAACATCTTTCTCTGCAGTTGTGAACTGAATACAAATGACTTCCTTTCATTCATGGACATTTGCATTCTCACCAAAGGTCTGAGGATAGATCCATGGGGTTCTCACACATGCAGATGTTTGTTTCCCTGACCCCCATCCATTCGCATTACACTTTAAAACTGCATAACACATGGAAGGGATTTGCAAGTGTAAGTTTGTTTCCTTGAGGTGGAGGGGGAGGATTTCTACATTGAAGTTTGATTGTTTTTCTTTGTTGTAAGAAGTAAGAACCCCTTAAGTTGGTCTAATATTTCTGTTTTAGGGTTATTTTATATCAAGTTATTTTAGGTTTGAAATACTTTATTAAATGCAATGTTGGTTTACTAGAATTTTTTATTTTGGAACTAGAGTACAATAATTTAATTGAATGTCGAATCATGTATTTCAGATCTGATTTAAAGCTAGAAATCCCAAGGATTCTTTAAACATTTTAAGCATGCTCCAAAGGTGCACAGCACTGCTATCATGAAAATAATTTTTCATTTACATTACATCCGCAATTATTCATTTAGCAGATATTTTGGTCCAGAATGACTTAAGATCATTCAAAATATCAGCATTGCTGCAATACCAAATTTCAAGAGTAAACCATAATACAAAGCTGTCTTGCATTGAGGCCTGCTCTGTGTTTGAGCCTTGAGGGAAAAGTTCAGGCTTTTTCTTCTGTATTGCATGACTCAACACAGATCTCATGCCAGGCACTGACGCTGATTCGTGGCACACATTCCCCATGCCCTCCCCCACACTTGTTGAGTGCCTGAGATAGAAACCAAATGGCAGTTTATCTGGACAAATAGATATTAAGCTTATTAGCATTGTGCTGCTACATGAACCAGGTAAACAGACCAGACCAGACCAAGAGTCATCACAGTAATATCAAAAGACAAATTATTTAAAACGGGGCAGGATATGTTGAGTTGTGTTTGCATGTTGGGGTGGGGCTTTAGACAGCTGTGCTGTGAATAGTAATCATCCTTGGTGTGTGTGTGTGTGTGAAGAAAATAAGAAAGAAAGGTGGGAATCACCACAAATTTATATAGTGCAATCATGTGCCAGCTTTTTTTTCTCAAATGCTGTGGCAATTCTTTTTGATATCATTCATATGATTGGTTGCTTACTGCATAATTCTGTTTACTTCATTTTCTAGGATTACTGTTAAAGAAGACCATGATAATAACTGAAGAGACTTTTCAAAAGGATTTATTTGATTATTTGCATATTCTGTAGGTTTGGGTTGACTTAATAAGAATTGTTCAGTCTTTTTTTATTTTTATTTAGATTAGTTGTTTCCCAACCATCAAGTTGACTGGACTTACTACCTAACTTTTTCATTTTATATTTCATTTCTAATTTCAAAATTATATACTGACAGTTATTGCTAAGCCTGGTATACTAAGCAGTACTGAAACAAAATTGAAATAAAACAATTTTGATATATATTTTACCTTAATATAAAATGCCATGTCATGAGCACATCAGGACTGTTTAGTTTAATTAATTAATTTCATTTATGCAGTGTACAATGTGTTGTTGATTTTTTGTGTGGACACAAATTAGATTAAATTCCATTGTCCTCCTGAACCCACTAAACGTAATTTTCCCACACTTTATTACAACTGGTGCATTTACAAAAATGTAAAATGGTTTATACTGTGCTGCCCTGCATGTTGTCTCATTATTATTATTGTACATAATTCACTTTTAATTTATTGTCTATTGTCTATGCAAATCATTGCTTGCATGAAGGACATTGGCCAAGGACAATGACAAAATACTGTTCATTCAATGACTGATTATATTTTACTCAAACAGCCAGTCAATACATATCACTGTCCTCTGTGTAATCTACAGGTGCATCTCAATAAATTAGAATGTCGTGGAAAAGTTCATTTATTTCAGTAATTCAACTCAAATTGTGAAACTCGTGTATTAAATAAAAACATTTTTCTTAATAAAAAAAATAATTTTTATTATAACTGTTGTGTCCCCATTTTGCTTTTATGACAGCAGCACTTTGCACTTTTGAGCTGCATGAACTCCACAAGTTTGTGTAAAACTGGATGCTCATGTTCTCCAGCATGATTTGAGAATGAGCCAAAGAGCATATTGTACTTGAGTTGAAGCAAAAACATCCGACTATCCATACAAAGAGCTTACATGATCAATGCCACACGTTTTAAATGGAATCTTAAATAGTTGCAGAATCTTAAAGGGTTGTTCTTAATATTTTGTCCATTTTTTAAAACCATAAAACTTAATTTATAACCATTTTTCTCCCCAAGTTTTAATAAGGTCCCTGACTTTTAGACCCCATTGCATGCCACTCTGATTGTCACGGTATATGTCGCCCGACTGTGTGTGTGTGTATGTGTGTGTGTGTGTGTGTGTGTGTCTGTGCTGCTGCTCTTGACTGAAAATAGCAGCTGTCGACCAAGCATCTGTTACCTCGAGGAAGAGAGAGTTGATCGGAAGTTCAGGGGGAGATGCCAGCTCTTTGAAATAAGGCTATGAGGAATGTAAAGCATTGAAGATGGTACTAAAGGCCTGTAAGGCATTAAAAGGAATAGAAGTATCCCCACACTAAAAACAGAACTCTGAATGCATGAAATGCACACAAACTAAGGAAAATTATGAACGTTTTGCTGCCTCCCATGGGCTTACATTTAAAAATAGGATTTTCTAAATCTCACAATTCTGCAAAGAGTCCTATCTGATTGAGTTTGAAACTGAATAGATGAACCACTGGGTGGAGATGGATCTGAGACAATGGGCCTGAGTGCCCTTATCAACTTTGTGCTTGGTAAATTGCTGACTAATTTGCATTCAGGTTGTGCTGATCACACTGTCTCTGGGGTAGAAAGACTGGTTGGTTTTCATTTCATTATTTCATCAAATAAAATTCTGATTT